CAACACCTCATTTCTGGAGATGAATAAGGAGGTTCACACAACCACAAATTCATGTAAACCTGACACATTTTTTTTTTAGGAAAAAAAAATCAGTATTTAGCTGGAGAAGGCAATCCCCAGGTAGTGGTCACATCCAGGGGTCCAGTGGGTAGTGCTGTGTTTGTGCTCCGTGAGGGGTCTTGACAGCCAATTCCCACCATTCCTTTCAGGTGGGTGGGAGAGCAAGGGAGTGTGCAGTGCACATCTTACATAAAGAGAACCCGGAGATCATCTGGCATGGAAGGCCCAAGCTCTGCTTCCAAAGCCTGGCAAGGTCTTTACAAAAAAAGGAAAGTCCTAAGGAGCCTTGGTTTCTTATGACTGTGTTTTTATTTTTCATTTGTTTCATAAAACTATGGTTTGTGTGTGATGGTGTATGTGTGTGTGTGATTGTATGTGATGGTGTGTGTTTGAGATGGAGTGTGTGTGTGTGTGAGATGGTTTGTGTGTGATGGTGTGTGTGTATGTGTGTGATGGTGTGTGTGTGAGATGGTGTGTGTGTGAGATGGTTTGTGTATGATGGTGTGTGTGTGTGTGTGTGTGTGTGTGTGTGATGGTGTGTGTGTGTGTCAGGTCCTATATGTGTGTTGAAATGATTCTCAGCAAGATTTACAATTCCAAGGATGCATTATTTTAAAACTATATTTTTATTAACTAATAATATTTAACAACTTTATGCTAATGCAATTCAAATAATTCAGTGAAGGTTCATTTTTTTTTAAGCTGAAAAAATGTACTTAAACAAGGAAATATGCCTCCTCCCTTACTGTGTCTGGAATACCCTTATTACTTTTGTCAGCTCATTCCTCAGAACAATGAGTATCAAAATCAAAAATTTTCACAAGAGCAAGTTTAATCTTGCTAAGCAATCAGATGTGAAATGAATGACTAAGACTCTTAGAGGCAGTGTTTTATGGAGACTGTAACTATCCACCTCGAGATTTATGGATAAGCAGCTTATAACTTTTACCCAAACATCCTTCTCTCACACAGTCATTCATCATTAACTAAATGCGGCTACTTAGCAAAGGCACACAGTGTTTTGCAGGACTTCATGGGCTGGAACAAAGTGGCAGGGACAAAGGGACAGGCTGCAGAGGGAGTCGAAAGCCAGGCAGAGCCAGCAGTTGCTGACAGAGGCCTCGCCAAGGCTGGGGTGGCAGTGGGCTGTGGGAGGGCGTCGCTGAGGGGCCGTAACGACAGGCCCTGCGGAACCGGGGAGTGACTTCGGCCTCCGAACAGAGAGGTTTGAGCAGTGATTGCTCATTAACCGGCTCTTAGAAAAAATGGAACAGTAGAACAGAAGAGATCAGAGTGCATTGTGGGTGCTCCATAGAAGTTTCTTTGCATTTGTGTGTGTGTGTGTATGTGTGAGAATGCGCGCGCGCGCGCACACACACACACACACACACACCTTTCTTACTATGGGTTATAGCAAAAAAGTTCAAAATCACTACTCTAAAGGACATGTGTGGGAAGCACATGTCCAACTCCCACGATGCATCCTGGGTTCTGACTGCCTCGGAGAAAAGCTCAGAAGAGGCCCCAGGGAAGGGTTTTCGTGCGCCTTGTCCACAGAGCAGGGACAGAACTGAAATGTGGGCGCCTGGCCCTGCTCTGAGACTCTGGCCTTACACCCACCCTTACACACAGGAGTCCCAGTGACCCTTACGATAGGTCCTGTGATCACCACCCTCACTCCGCAGTGAGGGAAGTCAGGCCAAGCCAGGGTCGAACCCCCTGGACTTGCCCTGCCTTGGCATGATCGGTCCCCATAACTCTCTCAGGTGCTCCCTGATGTTTGACCGCACCGTTACCCGCACGGAGAAAGTTCACATCATTGCCTGTCCATCCCCATCCTCGCCACTCGGATGGACTTACTGCCTGCTAGGTGCCTGGGCTGTTCTCATTTTATACAGACACCTTTCCCCATTCAACAGCAGGAAACTAAACACGGGTGTGACGTCTGCGTGCCTCATCTGTCGGAAAGAAAGGCAGCACCTCCTGTGTTCCGACCCCCCACACTGCCTTCACACGCTCTAATGGGCATGACACGTGTGAGATTCGTTCGCCTGTGTCTACCCACAGGGAGACGACCCGGGAAGGCCTGGAATTAGCTCCTGGAAATTCTGGCATCGTTTTTCACAGGAAAGCCAGCCCCCCACGTGAAACAGTTCTCCAGTGTCACCGCTCTGACCGGCACCTTCTCGCCCGTGGGCAACCCCACCCACCGCACACCGAGGGGGTCAGGCAGCCGCCCCCCGTGGGCCGCTCGGGCTTGCGGGCGTCTCCAGCCGAAGGCAATGGGGACCCCAGGGCCCAGAGGAAGGTTTACTTCTCTTGTCCCGTCAAGAATTTAAGTGGGGGCCTTGCCCCCGTGGGCGCTGTCACCGGGAGTGATGTCTCATCGCCCCTCGACGGGGCAGGGAGACTTCTGAGAGCTGAACACCTGGTCTCTCTCCCCTCTGGAGCCTCAGGCACCTTCCCTCATCCGCAGCTCAGATGCCACAGGCACCGCCTTTTCGCCCTCAGCCTCACGTGGGGGCGGCTCCCAGAGCGACGCATGCATTCCTGTTGGTTATTGTCTACTCCTACTTTGTCTCAGGTCTATTTGGTTACGGAACCTGGAGGAGACGTTTGCTCCTTGTCCACGCTCTTCTTCGTGAGAACCCTTTCAAACATTTCCTGCAGTTCAGGGTAGAGCCGATCTTTGCTTTAATCTAAACTCTAAAGTTTACTTTACACGCTTGTACGCAGAGGTGTGCAGAGGAGCCACCTCTTCAAGGAGTGGGCTGCTCCCCACCAAAGCCTTCCTCCTCGCTGCTGAGAAAGTCCCCGACCAGCTAGACTCTCTTCTTCCTTTTCTTGAAAACACTTTAAAGATCCATGCAGTGGTGGTGGGGGGCACGGAGCCAGGCTCAAACATTTTGGGGCGCTATAGGTTAGTTTCTAACTAAAACTATATAACACTAAGGAGGGGGAGAGGTGAGGGGCGGGGGAGAGGAGAAGGAGGAAGGAAGGAAGGAGGAAACGGAAAGGAGAAAGGTGTGGGTGAAAAAGCAACTTTTCTATAGAAAGTAAGCTCCCAGGTGATCGGATCATAAATTCCTAACTGGGCCGGTCCTAGTGGGAGTCACACCCCAGGACTATGGCTTCTTCAAGGACAGATTTTATGCCAGCTCTGCCCATTGCTCCTGTGCGTCCCGGTTAGCACACCTTTGAAATGCCAGAAGTCAGACCCCTTGAGTGGAGCACATCCTCAAAGAGTACCCAATCTCGTCAATGATCCTGTCATCCAACGGCCACCTTATTCTCTCCAGTCTTCCTTATTTCCTCTTTTTAATTTCAAGTGCATAAAATAAACTGAAAAGCTCCTATATTTAGAAGCATCTGAGATCTTGCCCCGGGCATATATCCCATTTGGCTCCAATAAATGCTCACAAAAATTCTCCACAGCTTTGGATGCTTACATGGACAAAGGGAAGGAGAGAGAGAGGACTGAGGTGGAGGGGGCAGGAGTAAGAGCTAGGGGAAGAAGAGGTAAGAGAAGGGAGGGGAGCGGGAGATGGACAGAGGGAGGCAGGGGAGAGCTCCTGCTCTCCAGAGGGCCAGGGGTGGGGCAGCTCCAAGTCTCTCAGAGGCCTGCATGCAGCTGCGTGAGGACTTGAGCCCAGGGTGCCAGCTCCTGCCACCTGTGAACCTACAAAGCAAGCCCTGCCCCTTTGAGCTGGGAAGGCCTTATTTACAGGAGCTTGGTTACGCGTAAACATTTTCATATGACTTATTGCTTTGTTATAGAAACTGACTTTTGGTTGGGGCTCAGTAATCTTTTTGAATATATATATATATATATATATATATATATATATATATATACACACACATACTAGAGGTCCAGTGCATGAATTCATGCATGGATGGGGTCCACCTGGCCTGGCCCCAGTAGGAGTGGATCGGGGCTGGGCCTTCGGGAGGAGGAGCTGGCGAGAGGTTGGTTGGCCAGCTGGCCCACCCTGACCAGGTCCCAATAGGGGCTGGGCCAGCTGGGGGAAGGGGCTGCCTTCCAATTGGGGTGGGGGGGAGATTGAGAGAGGGGCCAGACATGGGGAGGGGCTGTGGATGGTGGGCTGGCCGGCCTCACCCCCAAATAGGGTGGGGGGTGCTGATCAGGGGCCAGCAGCCTGGGGGAGGGGCCATGGGTGATTGGCCTACCGGCTGTGCTCCTGATGGGGTGGGGGGCTGATCTGGAGTGAGACCAGGTGGGGGAGGGACTGCAGGAGGTTGGTGGGTTGGCCCTGCCCTCTATTGGTGTTGGGGGAGGGGGATCAGAACCAGGCCAGCAGTAGGGAGGGGCTGCAGGCCTATCATGGTGGGATGGGCTGATCAGGGGTGGAACTGGGGGGGTTGAGGAGGGAGGGAACGTTCGGCAGTGGCCAGCTCTTGATCGGGGTGGGAGAGTGTGATCAGGAGTAGGCCAGCAGCGGGGAGGGGTTGTGAGGTTGGTCAGCCAGCCCCACCCCCTGATTGGCTGGTTCGCTGGCCACAGTGGGCATCATAGCAACCAGTCATTATGGCTGTATGGTTGCTGGCTTTATATATATATATATATATATATATATATATATATATATATATATATATACACACACACACACACACACACACACACACACAATATACATACATACATATATACACACACAATATACATACATTTATATATTTACAATATACATACATGAAACTGACATAATCATGAAAGCAATAAACTGTTCTTTGTAATGTCTCTGAGTAAGATTTACACCTATTACCTTTCGATGTGTATTACATATGTATAATACATTACATATATAATTTCTGTAATATGCCAAATAGTAGTAAAAATAATAACAGCAGTTGCAAAGGCAAAGAGACTAACCTGTGTGGACCCCCTGGCGGTATAACCGTTCTGAAGCAATTACCTGTGTAAAGGAACGTGTTGGTGTGTCCTCCCACCACGACGTCCACGCCCCTCACTTTCTGAGCGATGAGTTTATCTATTTCAAAACCAGAGTGTCCCAGGGCAATAATTTTGTTCACACTGAGAGTTGTTAGCTTATCTACTTGCAGTTGCAATGCAGCGATTTCATCTTCAAATACTAAATTTGGCCCTAAAAGGAACAAAACAAATACAATGGATACGTATTAAGAATACTTTTTATTATACTACTTATTGTACACACTAACGTGCTAGGTAAAAACATCTTAATCTGCTAAAGCTCTTAAATGACTAAGGCTAACACATTTTATTTATTTAAAATATATTTTTATTGATTTCAGAAAGGAAGGGAGAGGGAGAGACAGATAGAAACATCTATCAACTGCTTCCTGACGCCTCCTACTGGGGATCAAGCTGGAAACTTGGGCAGGTGCCCTTGACCGGAATCGAATCTGGGACTTTTCAGTCTGCAGGTTGATGCTCTACCCACTGAGTCAAACCAGCGAGTTTTTAAATTAAATATAAAATCGCTACAAAGCCACCTTCTGCCCATCTAGGTTATTGATTCTCAGTTACATTCACTTAATGTTGCATTAGTTTAAGGTTTCAGATGATATTATGTTCCTCAAGATTCAAGCTCAAACTATGAGGAGGCTTCAGACCCTAAGCCTATTTATTTTTCTATTCTATTTGCATATGTAGACTTCCTTTACCCCAATGCAGAAAATGCCTGGGCACATACGCATAAAGTACAAAACAGATGATTAATTCTAAGACTTGGTTTGCAAGTTTAGTATAGTCTTAAACTTAAAACTCTGTCAGCAACTAGTTCTTGTATGCCAATCTTAACACTCTGGCTGACAACTCCATTCTGCTCACTGGCTAAGGTCAGCATGAGAGTATCATTGAGCTCTGCATAGACAGGGGTCCCATCTGGGTATTGAGAGTGCACAGGGGTTTCTATTTCTCCACATACACGCCATCATCGGTTATTTGCTGATTTATTGATGATGGCCATTCTGACAGGTGTAGCAATTAATTCTTTTTAAAATATGTTTTATTTATTTATTTATTTATTTATTTATTTATTTATTTATTTATTTTACAGAGAGGAAGGGAGAGGGACAGAGAGTTAGAAACATCGATGAGAGAAACACCAATCAGCTGCCTCCTGCACATCCCCTACTGGGGATGTTCCCACAACCAAGGTATGTGCCCTTGACCGGAATCGAACCTGGGACCCTTAAGTCTGCAGGCTGATGCTCTATCCATGGAGCCAAACCAGTTTTGGCAAATTCTTGATGGAAATCCTTGATTCTGATAACTCCTACTTTCCCCTTTTTCTTCAAATATGGAAAGAAAATTAATTTAGAGAATTTAGAAAAAATGTCATTTCTCATTGTTAGTGTTTCTGTGAAAAGTGTTCCTTCCTGTAAAAGTAGCTCAGAAATGTTTCTTGAATGGTCTTAGGGTTATATATAAAAGCTTGTGTATAAATGTATATATAGATATAGGCAGATATATGTCTTTTAAAACATACACTGAATGGCCAGACTATTATGATTTCTGAATGCATAATAATCTGGCCACTCAGTGTATATCCTATATAATAAAAGGCTAATATTCAAATTGTCTTTTGGACCAGGAGTTCGACCAACAGGCAGGCCAGCCAACCAACTGCCCATGTCCCCTCCACCTGGCCAGGCTAGTCGGACCTCACCCATGCACAAATTCATGCACCAGGTCTCATTTCCTCATACACACACACACACACACACACACACACACACACACACTGAGTGACCAGATTATTATGCTTTCAGAGATCATAATCTGGCCACTCAGTGTATATATGGATGTAGATATCATCAGACCTTACATATTTCCCAGAAAGCCAGATAGGGCAAAGTCATTCAATTACAAAAGGCGAATGAGGCCAAGACCTTGGTTGCGGGCATATCCCCAGTCGGGGGTGTGCAAGAGACAGCTGATCGATGACTCTCTCTCAACAATGTTTCTAACTCTCTATCTCTCTCCCTTCCTCTCTATACAAAATCAATAAAATATATTTAAAAAAAACAAAAACAAAAACAAAAGACGAATGAGGCCAAGGCAGACAGGAGTTAACTGGCCGTGTACTAATCACACCAGAAAGGGAAAGGTAAGGTAAACCACATGGTCCCCTTACTCTAGGCATCCTAACTCCACAGGACGAGGGCAGTGATGATATGGCACTTATTCTCCAGTAAATGACTCTGCACTGTTTAGCCCTGGAGTTAAGTAGACTTCTCCTCCAATCTTAAAAGCACCCAATTAAGCAGAGACACTGTCCACAAGGAAGTTCACGGAACAGAAGAGCGATGTCCTTACGAAGCTTCATCAGTGCCATCCTAGGTACACCCACCTCATGTGGTTTCTCCTCCTCCCTATAGCTCACAAAAATAGTGCCAAGCTCTGACTTGCTGCCTCTATTTTCAAGCGAGGAGTGCTATAAACGTAGCAAGTACCTGGTTTTGAGAGAACAGGAGTTTCTCTTGAGGTGTATCCAACAATTCCCACCGATTCCTCACCAACGGGAAGGATTTTATACGGCCAATAAAGATTTGCCATTTGAGATGCTAGCGGCCCCTTCGCCTTAATGTTTGCACTCAAAATGGGAAATTGGGCCTGTCTGAGGAGTGGATTGATCAGACCTTCGGCACCATTATCAAATTCATGATTTCCCAGCGCCTAGGAAGGAAAGAAAAGAGAAAAAGGATTAGGTCCTCGGGCAGTTCCAGTGAAAGCACACTTTGAAGAATCACGCATTAGCCCAGCGGCTCCAACACTGCAGGGCTCCCGGAGGCCACCCCGGGGCCTCTGCCCTCCTCCCGCCCGAGGTGTGCGCCATTGTCCTGGAGTGTCGGGCCAGGGACATCCAGGTCCTTGGGCTGTTCTGAGACCAGCTGCCTGGGTCCCACACCACCTCCTGCTCTGGAGGCGGCAGCAACACAGGAGCCACCGGGAAGCGGGCTGGACGTCCATGGTCCTGCCAACCCGGATCTGGGCAGGGCCTGCGCTCACCAGGCACGGCCTAGCCTCTTGCCTTCTGTTTTCTCTCAGAAACCCACATGCCAACCCACCCACCTCCCGGTCCCAGCCTCCATCTGCAGGAGGGAGCCACTCAGATCAATGGGACTTGAGCCACAATGAGGAGAAGGTCCTGTGGACAGAGGACAGAGGCCTCTCCTCCTCCTCTTCCTCCTCCTCGCAGCCCCACACCTCCGTGGTCACGATTCCCCTCTAACACTCCTTCTTGCCCAGGACTCCGTGGCCCTCTGATTCCTCTGGGGAAGCGAAGAGCCCCAAAGACAAGCAGGAGAAGGCCCTGGCTTCTTCCTTCTGTCTGCTGGGGGCTGCCCCATGCCTCATTTCCAGAAGGTTCCTGCCTGAGAAAGGACAGGTGAAATGACCGCGCCTCCCTCGGGTGTCTGGGTCCACTCTGAGCTCGAGGCTTATGAAGAGGTGGGGTAGTTTGTTTTTATTTTTAAAATATATTTTTACTGATTTTAGAGAGGATGAGCAAGGGAGAGAGTGTTAGGAATATCAGTGATGAGAGCAAATCATCGATTGGCTGCCTCCTGCACACCCCACACTGGGGATCAAGTCCACAGCCCAGGCATGCGCTCTTGAGTGGGAATTGAACCATGACCTCCTGGTTCATAGGTTGGCAGTCCACCACTGAGCCAAGCCAGCTGGGGAGCTGGGGTAGTTTTTTTTTTAATATATATTTTATTGATTTTTTACAGAGAGGAAGAGAGAGGGATAGAGAGTTAGAAACACCGATGAGAGAGACATCGACCAGCTGCCTCTTGCACACCCACTACTGGGGATGTGCCCACAACCAAGGTACATGCCCTTGACTGGAATTGAACCCGAGACCTTTCAGTCCGCAGGCTGACGCTCTATCCATTGAGCCAAACAGGTTTCAGCTGGGGTAGTTTTTTTTTTTTGTTTTTAATGACTGGTCCATTTATTTTTTTATTTATTTTTTATTTTTAAAAATATATTTTATTGATTTTAAAAATTAATTTATTATCTGTGTACATATTTTAACATTGCCTCCCCCCTCCTATACATACCCTCCCTCCCCAGAGTTTTGTGTCCATTGGTTGTACTTATATGCATGTATACAAGTCCTTCGGTTGATCTCTTATCTCCCCCAGATCTCTCTACCCTCCCAGCTGTAATTTGACAGTCTGCTTGTTGCTTTACTGTCTTTATATCTGACTTTTGGTTCATCAGTTTATAATGTTCTTTAATATCCATAAATGAGTGAGGTCATGTGGTGTTTCTCTTTCTTTGACTGGCTTATTTCACTCAGCATGATGTTCTCATCATTTGCAGCAAGCTGGATAGAACTAGAGAACACCATGGGGTAGTTTTTTAATGCAAACCTTGCCTCCTATCTTCTTTGCTCTCTCCCATCCCCTACTGCTCTAGGAGTAGCTATTGGGTAAAAAAACAACCATTTCCTCCTGGAATAATACTAACAAGACACAACATGCCAGCCACCTCTCCTGAAAAGCCGGCACCCCTTCCTCCTCTGGCTCCTGGAATCAGCCTGTCTCCTCCGGGCACCTGCCTATCTGCTCTGGTTGCTAACCTAGTGTTTAACCCTGTGAGTCTCAAAATACCTAAGCCTGGCTGTCTTGCCTCCACGGTTGTGGGCTCGATCCTCAGTGTGGGGAGTGCAGGAGGCAGCCAATCAATGATTCTCTCTCATCGTTGATGTTTTTCTCTCTCTCTCTCCTTCTCCCTTCCTCTTTGAAATCAACAATAAAGTATATATATATATATATATATATATATATATATATATATATATATATATATATAATCAGCAATAGGAACATCGGAATGACCTGAATCATGGGTCGCTATGATGCTCACTGTGGCCAGCCAACTGGCCTGACCCTCAGAGGCAGGGCTGGCTGGCCAACCTCCTGTGGCCCCTCCCTATGGCTGGCCCCCCACCCCCATTGGGGCCGGCGGGCCTACTGTCTGTGGCCCCTCCCATTGGCTGGCCCTTCCCCTGATTGGTCCCCATCAGGGTGGGTGGGCCAGACCCCACCTGTGTATGAATTCATGCACCAGGCCTCTAGTTTTAAACAAACAAACAAACAAACAAACAAACAAACCAGTGACTCTCAGAATTTCTAAATACTACATCGGATTTGCTTCACTTTGCAGGTCATCTGGGAACAGGTCTAGAAGTACTGGCTGGTGACCCTTTGTCTAAATTAGCACCCTCCCTCCCCAGTTTTCTCTTTGTGGGGGTCCATCTGCTCTACCCTGTGGCCCCTTACTGGCCATACAGGCATTCCCTGTTTGTCTGCTCGCACAACTGTGTATTATGTCCTACAGGGTACCCCTCTGCACAGAGAAAGCAACAGTGTCCTCACTCTCCCACCAACCTGTCTCCCCAATTAAATGCAGAATTTCCAAATTTGCTTCTTTTTCCATTTGTAAGAATCTATTACCTCTTCCTCTTACCCAATTATTTCCCTCTTAAAAGGTGACCTTGCCTTAAAGTTCCTCCCGGTTTTGGGTAACCGTCTTACTCATGGTTTCTTCCTATGGTGAAATGTCTCTGTTAGATTCCAGTAACTATCTTGCTTAACTGTAAAGTTTTTTTTTTAAAAAAACAAACAAATGTTTCTATGGTTCTTCATGAAAAACTATCCAACGTGTCAGTCACCTTGCAGTTTACCAATCAGCATTATATGGCTGGACTGTAGCAATAGCTGACGTTATATTTTTCATTTTTTCCCTCTTGGCCCAAGCTGCCAATGTGAATAAAGGCAGAAACCCTGGAGCAGCCGAATCCTTCCCACTCACTCCCCCCACTTCCCTCCCACCAGTATCTCTCCCCTTTTCCTAAACGTGGCTTCATTCCATCCCACTGCTGCGACCCGCCTCAGTCCTCGCCTCCTCTCTGGACTAAAGTAACAGCTTCCTCGCTGGGCTTTCGGCAGCAGCCAATCCCATCTCTAAACCCTCCTGCATGTTGCAGCCAGAACAACCTCAGCAAGTCTGACCTTGTCAATCTTAGCCTTCAGGTCCTACAGAGGCTCTCTGCTCCCTCTGGGATCAAATTCAACACCCTAGCACGGTGGGCCACCAGGCTCTTTGAGGTCTGGTCTCATCCCACCCTCCAGCCTCATTTCTGACTCCCACTCCCTGATGTGCAAGGCAACCAGGTAGGGCTGACTCCTCCTTTCACGAGCAGAGACCTGGGCGCATTTCTAAACCACAGCTCCTCCTGGAAGGACGCTGAAATCACAGCACAAAAATCACGATAAATATGATATATATATGGTTGTTTTTTTAAAATCTAAGCACTTGCCACACACCCACATCGCACAAAGTGATTTTGTACAGAAAACCTGGTTTCCAGCTGTGAGGATGGTATTCCATCTATCCTCACGTTGCAGGTGAGAAAACCTGAGATCTGGAGGCACTACAGGAATTGTTCAATTCACAGCTTGAGTATGTAGGGGCGCTGGGGCTAGAGCCCCTTCTGTTGGACTCCAACCTTCTCCAAACTGGATGCTGGGAGGTAAAGGGTGTTGTAGAAGGCCTAGTATCTAGTGGGCACTCAACCCCAAATCCTGCTTGCAATTTTTTTACGCTCTTCACTTATCTTTGTTCCTTTGTATATGACAAATGATGAGTGACCTGTAGATGGGTGGGACAGAATAGCCTTGTTCAACAATGGCTTTGGCTCCTGAAGTCTGATGCCCTTTCTGGAAGACAACTTCCCAAGAACCCTTCGCTGCATTCCCTGTCTGAGTTAGATGTCCTTCCTCTGCCCTGAGGTCACCTCTGTGCAGCCCCAGCCTGCCCTGCACCTGCCCACTGGCCTCCCAATGCCCAGCACAGACCCTGGACCAGAGCATTTATTCCATTTATTCATTCGATGGTGTGTCAGAGCAGGGACACACCATCGAATGAATAAATGGATAAGCAGAAGTATCCCCAACACATTTCTTTCTTCCATACACAGCTAATTTTTCCTACAAAATTACCTATGCAGAAAATCTCTTTGCAAATACCCATTTTATTTATTTATTTTTTTTAGCAGCTCCTATTTTCATTTCCCCACCGTGACTCCTGTTCATCTCTCTTCCTTGGCACATATTAGAATGTCATGCCACCTAAGCGCTTCAGAAGGGGGACCATGTCCCTCACCCTGGCACACTGGGCTCCCTTCCCCGACCCTGTCCTGCTGACATGCAGCAGCAGCTCAAGAAATGTGTTGAAGAACTTGAACAATAAAAGGTAGAATAAACAGAGCAAATCGTTGTTCCGTGTTCTTCTACATCTCATAGAGCTTTTGTAGCACAAGCACTAGAGAGTTTAAAAAATTTATACCGCAAGACTACTCTGCCCTTTTTGTGCCCTCTGAAAATTGCCGTATGTGAGTGCCTGCAATTTTTTGGTGCTCTGCCCACAGCTTCCCTCGTGCCGTTAGCCACTAATCCTGATCGGATCTAAACCATTACTTGCCAATCTTTGCTGTAATCCTCACATCAGGCAAGTGATTTCCCTGATGCTAAATCATGGTCTTATGTTCTCCTTTTCTCTCTTCTGTTATTTTTTCCAAACATTTCATTTCTACAGTTGGGTTCATTCGCCCACTAATCCTGTTCATTCACTAATTCTAACCCAATGACAACCTTGAATAT